AAATCCCAAATTATGATTAGTATTTTTTGCCGAAATCCCAAATCCCAAATCCCAAATACTAGTAATTTGAGATTTTGACGTCCCAAATCCCAAATGATTTGGGATTTGGGCAACACGTATATTGTTCATTAATTTTATATTGAAGGATTTTTGTTGTGTATCATTTATATTTGTAGTTTGTTTATCCATATAAGTAATATTATAGTTTACCATGATAATTCTTAGCAAATTTTTTTACTTTTATTATCTGAAACTGTTGTTATATTTTTATTTAATAATTGTCAGCTAACTGATTATTTAGTTGCATTTAGTTTTTTTGTAAATATTTTCAAGGATTCTTCTATGCGTTTTGAATTTCAGCAACTAATTGTATTGATTGATATTAATGTTTATAGATTTGAATTGCAATTTGATTTGTTATAGCCTTCTTTTGCAAGTTTATCTGTTAAATCATTGAGTTCTATTTCTGAATGTACTTTTATTTTAATGAATTTTAACTTAATCCTTTGTACAAAGATAATTTCATTAATTGCTTAAGTAATATTCAATTTTTTATTTTTATATGACTTTTCTTATTATCTTTTATGATATTTGTATATACATCAATTGTTACCTAGTTATCTGTGAAAATTTTTAGGTTTGACTATTTGGGTATAGTGTAAACTGCAGTTAGTACAGCTATGATCTCTGCTCTGGTTAACTACATAAAATTCTTAACTTTGTCATTAAATGTAAACTTTACTTTGTTGTCATCAATTGCAACTCAAAAAAATAAATTTATTATATACTGTATCTCTTTATTATAAATAAAATATATTTTTAAATACAAAAAATACAAATAAAATATTTTATTTTACATGAATTTTTTTATATTACAAGTTATAATATTTAACTCTAGTTCATTTTTGTTTTATTATAAAAAGTTTCTACTAAATTTCTATTAAACTTTTCACATGTAAATTTAAAATATATTTTATTTTTGTATCTGTTTATTTAAAGTTAAGTTCAAGTTAAAGTAAGAATCATATTTAAATTTTTTTATATTATATATATTAAATATTTGTGAAATATAAAAGATCTAGAATAATTCAATCAACATTTCTTATTTAATAAGGTGTGATTATTAGTGATCCAAATTTGATAACTGTAATTTTAATACAAGTTTATTTATAAATTTTATAAAATGTTTAATATTATAAATAATATTAAAATAATAATTTTTGAAATTGAGTAATATTAATAAACTTTTGAGTCAAAAATTATAATTTTAAATTCTTGAGTAGAGTTTCAACAGGTTAATTTATTAACTTGCATATAACTTATATAATATAAAATATTATTATAGAAAATATAATAATGGGTTGTAACCTATATATTAAATTTCATATGAAGTTTTAATTTGTTTAATTCAAGGATTAATTCATTAGGAGCACTACTCCTGAATTTATAAATTCATAATCTGGATCCAATCTAATCTGGAAACTCAAATCAGATCACCTGAGTCAAGTTAGGAACATTATTATTAATTCACTATAGATAAACAGTTCAAAAAGTACACCAGTAAAACATAGTTGAACAGCAAGAGATGTTATTTTAAGAACTTCTAGAAAACCACATAAAACATGCTTTCAACAACTTTAAGAGATGTATTGCAAGAAAATCCTTCTTTAAACATGGTAGATAGGCAAGAAAATCCTTTTTCAAACATGACATATAGTTGAGAACATCAATTTTTTTTATTCATGTATATAAATATAATAATGATTAAATTTTTTTTTTATTGTATATTTTTCATCTGAGCAAGCATATGTTACTCTTAGTAGATGTTCAAACTAGAATAATATTCAGATATTTCATCTTGATTAATCAGTATTCATTATAGACCCTGATGTTATTCTTGATTAGAAAATATTCCTAGATCCCATCCAATGTATTTCATTAAATAATAATAACAATGTAATAATATAAAAAAATAAAAAAATACACTCCAAACTATTTCTCATAAATTTAAATAACAAATCATACTATGTAACATGACATGTATATTCCAGTGGTTACTCTAAAAAAATAATGACTAGTTATATAATAAAAAGAAATAATAATATATCATATTCCACTTACCAAAAAGTATTATTTTGATATAAATTTTATAAAGAGAATTTCAAGTTTTATTATCATGTTAATAGTAACTATTATTCTTTATTACTTACACTTAGGTATTAGAAAGTTAACTTATCATATTCAATAATTGAATGAAAAGTATTATTTTTAAAACTTGACTGTTTAATTATTTTTACTGTTTTTTCTTTATTGTTTGTAAAAAAAAGGTATTGTTTGGAACTTGTGTAGTTCTCTTATGAAAAAGATGCGGACATCATAAGTCGCGGTAGAGATGTAATAAGACGCGGTAAAATGTGTACTATTTTATAATACGATAATACAATAAATGTAAAGATTCTAAAAAAGATTTACACACGAAAAAGAAAATACTATAATTATTCTCTAGATTATTTAATATCTATTTTTTTATTTTTTTTATTGTAAATATAATATATACAATAATGCAATTATTGGCTTAAAAACAAATATTGAAAAAACCACTAAACTAATAAATAATCAGACAATATTATCTCTTTTTATAAATTATATTGGAGTATCGTGAAACAATATGAATTCGCCATTAAAATTAAAAAACTTGCTGAAATATGTTGTGCCCGCATAACATTTTTTTACCTTCTTTTTAGAATGGCACGTGCAAGAATAACCAATTAGATTTAGATTGACAGATAAATTCTAAGATTTCTATGTAAAAACAATAAAAACAACTAATGTAATGTAATGGAAAAGAGATAGAAATTGATAAGATGCATGGCTGAAATGTTAGAATGAAGAAAAAAAGGAAAAAAATTTTTTTAATCGATTAATACCATTAATAAAAATTAATAACAATTAATAATACAGATAAAGGGTTTGATTTTAACCATCAAAAGTAATTAAAATAAAAAATAAAATTTGTACATTCACGCCATCAAATGTGTGCATTAGTAATTAAAACTTATTTAGAAGCTTAAAATTTTTTTTTCTCTTGGTTTCAACATAAATATTCAGTATTTGTATTAATTAAACATTATTTGTTATAAAGTAGGATGAGATTGCGGATTTGTTTATAATTACACGATTTACATAATTGACCCTTGTAAAATGAATAACAAAAAAAAATAATGGCGGGAAATAACTTGTTATATCTTAATGGAATTTTGTATAGCAAATGCGAAACAAACAAAATTGCCCCTGAAATAAACCTGATTCAATAATCAGGTTATTTAAAGTTACACATGGCACTTTCGCAGATAAATTTTATTTTAATTACTGTATTTAAATTACTGTGCATTTTTAATTTTAATAAATTTGAAGTCTGTGATGTCACTCAACATGCATCTCCTCCTTAGATCTCATTGATAACTTTAAAAACTTGATCTGCTTATAATTAAAGACTTGTTCATTGTGTTTCATTAGCTTACAAAGGTTTAGCAATTTGATTTATCCCTTAAAATTAGATAATAATATCAAGTTTTTTTTTAATTTAATATCAAGTTTTTTTAATTGCAGAAACCGGAATGATAAATATTCTTAATAAAATATGGATATATACTTATAAGGAAACATATGATGATTTCGTCTTCTGCATAATAAAACATACATGAAAAAATATTTAGGCTGAGGTTTGGCTAATCTTTTTCTGATTATTCAATATGTGCTACGATTTAACGCGTAACTACATCCTTTCTTCCTTTTGATTTTAATTTCTTTAATCTTTAATTGATAGTAACAGAGCGCCAAAAAGCCACATTTGAAGTTAATAAAGGTAAAAAATCAAAAAGAAAAAAAAATATTTTGAATATGTTATTTGTGATAAAAAAAAAAAAAAAATAATATGCTTAGGAAATAAGTTACTGTACGCGTTGCACCTTTTAATTTATCTCAAAAAAACTTTACCCCAACCCGTCTCCATATATGTCTGGATTAATTGTTGTGAAACCCGATTAGATTAGCCAATTCCTCAGCCTAAGATTTTTTATTGTATTACGCATGAAAAAAATTACAATTGTGGTATATCTTATTGTATTCTGAAATTTATCAAATAATATAAAAAAAGAAACGCGTTTTCAAGAATATAAAAGGTCCACCAAAGATTATTATTTTTTTTTCTTTGTTCCGAAATTCTTCATTTTTCGGCGAACGATTTCTATTAATTTATTGTGATCATAAAATTATACGATGGCTAACGTTCAATTCCCCCCCGGTGACTTCTACATTAAGTCTGCTACTTCCCCTTCTGGTGAATCCATTAATGCACCCTCAAGTCAGAATTTAGTTGTTGACGTTGAAAAGGGTGGTTTCTTTTCTTGGAGTAAAGATGGTGCTAAAATCGTTATTACGCACCAAAAGAGTGATACCGAACATGACCAATATCAACTTTGGAAATATGAGGACGGTTTGATTATTAATAAACAAACTTCTTTATGCTTAGAGGCTGAAAACGGTATGAATTAAAGAGAATTCTCTAATCATCACGTCCGTGATTATTTGTGAAAAGATTATATTCACGTGACAACCTAGCAATATTGAGATTGAAATATTAAAATTTGACGTTAAATAGGAAAACTCGGAAATCGTCTCACCTTGCATTCTAGAAAAAGTCCACATCAAGCTAATAATCAACGTTGGATTTTCACGAAAGATGGTCACATTGCTTTGCAAAGCAATACAAAACACGTGATTGAAGTAAAGAAAGGTGGATCAACAGTTGTTCTTTCTGATAGTCAATCAAAAAATTTTTCAAAGGGTCCTCCCGCTAAATGGGTTCTGCTACCGCTTCATAAGAAGAAACGTAGCGGTAATTTTTAATAAACATTATCTTGTTTATAAAAGAACAATTGTATTGGATGATATTAAATTTTTCATCTTTCATCAGATGGCTCAGCTATTGGTGTCGTCAGATTAGAATTGGTAGGCGCAAAGAATCTCAAATCTGCCGACTCCTTCCTTGCAGGAGGTATAACTTTTTAAGTATATTTTCAATTATGATTTATTCCATGAAATGCTATTCTCACGTGATATAATCGTTATAGGAAAATCGGATCCATATGTTAAAGTATTTCCTGAAGGCAGTAAAGAAATTATTGCTCAGACAAAAGTCATCGATGATGATTTAAATCCTGTTTGGAATGAAATTCACTATTTGCCTGTCAAAAACATGGGTGATAAATTCATTTTTGAAGTGATGGATTTCAACACATTTACAAAGGATAAATCCCTCGGTATTTGTCAGTTTGAAGTAACACGAGAATTAGTGAAAGAAGTTTCGGACGATGTTTTTGAAGGCACACCAAATGGAATCGATATGTAAGTTAAGTTTAATGAATATCTTAAAAATAAAGAACTTGTTTATTAATCCTTTTCTTGTTTATTCATATATTTCTAGCTGGGCAAAACTTTCTATCAAAGGCCAACTTAATTACAAAGCAAAATTCTTCGCACTCACACCTCTTCCTGATCCATCACCAGATTTCCTTGCCAATCTCAAAGAAAAACCATTTGATCGTTCTACATTATTTGTACTAATTACACTACAAGCACCAAATGGAAGTTTTCCTCCTTCAAATACATTGGCCAACTTGTTTGGTTATAGTAATCATGATGAACTACTTGAATTTTATAAAAAAAATTGTCGCGAAGATCGTGTACTAAAAATTAACCCAACAGTATGGACTACCAGTATGGTCTTATGGTTCTTACGATATTTATTAAAGGAATTCCGAAACGAATGGGCCGGAGTTGTTGAACGAGCTAAACAATATATTAGCAAAGAAATAAATGGTGATCTGGAAATTGAAGAGATTGTATTTGCCACTGGAAGAAAGGCAGTCCGTGAAAGATTTGATATCAAAATTGTAGATACTCCAGGTATTGTAATGCAAGTTATTGATTTGACTATTTGATTATTTGTTTTATGCCATTTTTACATATTTGTATTATAGATCCATCGAAAAGAAATATAACAAGAACGAATATTACAGTCACACATGTTAAACGTACTATAAAATACCAAAATGCAAATGGTTCATACAAAGTCAATGATGATCTCGCTAAATCTCTATCTTTCGACAATGCCGAGCAACTTCGCACGGCTCTCAATGCCTTTATTCGCAAAAACGCAAAATCCGCAGCAATCACAAAATTGGATCATCAAGTTTTGGTTACTATCCTTGTACTTTATTTCTATCGTTATGTTGCAATCGATCATAAGAAAGAATGGGTTCCGACATATGAGAAGTCATATAAATGGTTATGGGGTCAGTTTAAAGGTAAGGAAAAAGTTGAACAGGAGGCGTTTCAAATAATCAAATCATTTGTTAGAGACGCATATGAAGTTAAAGAAGGAGTTTACGAGTTGGACGCTACTTTTGAAGCGGAAATGGAACCAACAATCTCAAACATCAAGTTCCCTAATACAAGTATTCGTGGAATTGGTATGGATATTTAATAAAGATTAATTGCGCTTAATTAATTAATTAAAATTTCTCTAATTACAATATTTTTTTTTGCATTTCGAAATTTTTTCACATTAAGTTAAAAAACCCCTTGGTGTTGTAAGAATCGAAATTATTAGTGCCAAAAAGTTAAAACAAGCAGATTCCTGGTTTTCGGGTGGTACCTCAGATCCGTATGTTAAAATCTCTAGCGTGTCCACTGGTTGGGAATACGGTGAAACACGTGTCATTTACAATAACTTAAACCCCACCTGGAATCAAGTTTTCTATATCACAATTCTTGACATTAAAGACAAGTTCAAACTCCAAGTCTTTGACTATAATGTTGTATTAAAGCATGTGCCTTTGGGGAATTATATTCTTGATTTAAGAGATACTATCAAAGTTCTTGCCAACGGATCCCTTGAAGGAAAGAAATTAGGAAAACAGGAAGTTGATCTTACTCTGAAAGGAAGAAAATATGGAATGTTATCTTTTTCAGCCGAATTTAATTCATTTTCCGAAGCTGAAGCTAGTTCTGTTATTACCACCAAAACAATCACTATCCGCCATTTATATCTCATAACATCTTATCAACGTCAAGACGGTTGTTTTGAATTAAATGATTCGACTGCGAAATTATTTAATTTTTCTTCTAAGCAAGAATTGATAAAAGCATTTTCCAATTTTGTGGCAAATGATGATGGAGTTCGTTCTTTGAACCACAATGCTTGGAGTACTTGTCTCATTATTTCATTCCTCAAAGCTTTATTATGGAAATATCAGTACGAATGGATTGCAATTCACAGCAAGGGTGAAGCTTGGTTGAGTGAAAATGTTCCTGACGTTAATATTGAAGAACGTCTTTACAGTTATGTAACCCGATTTATCATTCAACACTTTAATATTACTGAATGGGAAAGTGAAAGTCAAAGAATAAGTTTGGGAGGTAAGGAATTTCTGCAAAAAATATTCATATAATGATTTTCGGTTATGAACTTTTTTTTTATTAACTAATCGTACTTGTCTATTATTTAGTTGATACCAAGATATCAATTATTGTTCGTTCTAAAGTTAATATACGTATTGTGCGTCGGTTTATTACTTATCAAAATGACTCTGGATGCTTTGTACTCAGCGATAAATCATCAGGGTCATTCGGTTTCAGTTCAATTGAAGAGGCCAAGAAACATCTGGAAGCTCATTTTTCTTCATACTCTAAAGCTTCCAAGCTCGAAGTTCATATTTGGAATACAGCCATTTTTATTTGGTATTTCCGTCTCGTTTTGATTGATTTTAGAACCGAATGGACTGAAGTGTACCAAAAGTCGGAAAGTTGGATTAGCGAACAAGTTCCAGACGAACAAATAAGAACAGAACTTATGGATGCTGCCAAAATCTTTGTCATAGATAGGTTCCAAGTTGGACAGTCATCAATAGATGAAGATAATTCACTCCAGCATTCTCGAGATATTCCTGTTCAAGAACCTCTTGCCGCCGAAGAAGAAGATGATGATATCATTTCTTCCGAAGAAGTTATTGGTTCCATTAAGTTTGAGATTAAGTCTGCCAAGGATCTCAAAAAATCCGATTCTTGGTTTACGTATTCCTACCCAGATCCTTACATTCGAATTCTCGATTCCACTTCTAAAGAAATTGACCGTACTATTACCCTTAATGGAACTAACAGTCCTACATGGAACGAATCTTTCCTTGTTCCAATTCACCATATTGCTGAAAAAATAACCTTCGAGATTTATGATTATAATGTTTTCGTATCCGACGCACTACTTGGTACTTACATCTTCGAATCAAGCTCTATTATAGAAAAGAAAGACGACGGTTCTTTGATAAGCGATAAAGTCTTTGACCAATGGGTTCCACTTCAGATTGGCAACAAACCTGTTAAAGGAAATCTTCATTTGTGTGCTAAATTCTTCTCCTCCGTTCTCAATGCAGAGGAGAGCTTTGTCTTTTCACGAGAGACCTTTACACTTCATCATCTCTATATCATTTTCAGCTGGCGGCTTTCAAATGGAGCTTTTACGTTTTCTGAGAATCTTGCTCGATTCCTTAATTTAAAGAATGAGCAAGAGTTGGTCGAAAAATTCAAACAATGTGTCGCTACTGATCAGTATCTTCTAAGGTGTGATATGGACGTATGGTCAACTGCCATTGTTATCACTTACCTTAGGGTCATATGTTGGAAATACTATAATGAATGGAAAACTCAAATCTCAAAGAGCGAAGAATGGTTGAATTTACAAATAGATGACACTGACGCTGAAGATAGATTATACGAGACATGCAAAAAATTCATTATTGATATATTCAAAGTCACTAGCTTTGAGGATGGTCAATTAAAAATACTAACTCAAGGTAAGAATTCAAATTAATTATTCTTTTGATCTATTATAAATATACTTATTAATATAATCCCGTAATCTCTTATTATAGATAAAAAAATAATTGTTACTCGTAAAACCATAACTGTCCGTTTCATCCGACGCATTGTTAGGTATCAAGCAGAAGATGGCAGCATAGCTTTGAACGAAAACGTCGCCAACTTCTACGGGTTCCAATCAGAGGATGAATTTATTAACCATCTCAAAAAATATTTCAAAACTGAGCGTGTTACGAAACTTCATATCAACGTTTGGGTTACTGCATGTACAATTTGGTATCTTCGGTTGGTTGCTACTGATCACAACAATGAATGGTCTCAAAACTATGAAAAATCATTGGAATGGTTGGTCAAACAATGCAAAGAGGATACTAAATTAGAGAACGAGATTTTTGATTGCGCTAAAAAATTTGTAGTAGAAAGATACCAAGTTGACAAGGAAGCTGAAGAAGCTGACCGCAGATTTATAAAGGCCTTTGAAAACAAAGAGATAGCAAGGAAAAACGAAAAAGACAACCAAATTAGATCAGATAAAAATGTACTTTACAAACAAAAAGTGATTCGCTCAGATATTATTTATACAAGGAAAACAATTACAATCGAAATCATTAAAAAGTTGTTATCTTATCGCACAAAAGATGGATGCTTTCCTCTGAACGATGATGTTGCCAATCTTCTTGGGTTTAAATCCAAAGAGTCATTAGATATGGCATTAGAAGCCCACTTTATCTCCGAGGCAACTTCCGGTTTGCACAAAGATATTTTAACGACTGAAATCACATTATTTTTCTTACGATTTGTTGCCGTGGATTATCGTGAGCATTGGCTTACTGAATTCGAAAAATCAAAAGCGTGGTCAAAATCGCAAATAAAGGATAAAACAGTGGAATTTGAAATGATGGATGCTGCGAGTTTATTTGTATTGCAAAATTACGATATTGACGAAGAAGCTAAGGAATTGGACTTTAAACAACTAGGTAGGCTAATATATTGAGTTTCATTTTTTGCAATATAATTACAGTTATACTGATAGAAAAATGCTTTTAAACAGAAAAAACAGATAAATCCACTTATGAAGAATTAAGTTCTAATTCGGGTGTTGTCTCAAGTGCCGAAACGAAAGGTGCTCCGGTGGAAACAGAAAGCATCTATAAAAACCTTACCAGTGGGTTGACAAGCGTTTACGAATCAACTACCAATATTACTAAGGATCTTGGAAAATATATTGAGGATGCACTTACCTCTGACACTGATGAACATGATCAACGTGAAAAAGAAGAAGCATTAATTGTAGTGCGATCAAAAACAACACCTGAAGAAACTAAATCTATTACCACAACTCAAAAAGCAAACGGATGCTTTGAATTGAGTGAAAATGTTATCAAGGAATTACATGTCTCCATAGTCCCTAAAACCGAAATTATAACAACAATACGAAAATATACTACCAATGAGAAGTTAAAGAAGCCCGAATCATCTGAATGGTGGTCAACAGCCCTGACTCTTTCATATCTCAAGAATGCTGCTTCTCAACACGAAGGAGA